CAGATGCATCTTGATTAAAGTTAAAAAACACAGCAGGTATTAAGGGAATGTTTCACATCAATATTGATCATTTTATGTGAAACCAGAACCATAAAATGGCACATAAAAGGAATGCCACTCTGTTACACTTTGGACAGTTTAAATGTTTGGGTGCAACAACAAGGATGATGCTGGTCATGCATCTGTTGTAATTAAAAGAAAACCACAACCATCAGAGGTATTAGCAGGCAGTGAAACAGCTTTTCATCCCTGTATGCTCCTACCAGAGACATAAATAAGCTTGTTGGTAGACTTTGCTCTTTGTATCTTCGCTGTTTAGATTGCTCTTCAGACAGCTCAGTGCTGAAGAAAAATGGAAGCGATGGCTAGGTCTCACCGTTGTATAGAGAAGGTGCAGACGTAGGAGAGGCCCATGCTGTGGGTGGGCGTAGACAAGTTTTTCCTCAGTGCCACGCATAGGGGTAACCCAATAGCACCTGTTCTCCCCCATTCTCTGGTGACTTTTGACCTTTGTGTGGGTTTTTAGGCACCTTAACATGCATCCAGAACCACCAAAATTATGTCAGCACTTCGCTGCAACACCAACTTTGAGTGGGAAAGGGTTTCTAGCTCAAAGATAGAGCTGTGAGAAAGTGGAGTTAAATTGTCAGTTCCTTTATCTGTGTCCTTTTGGGAACATTTCTGCCAAAATGTCCCGACTACCATGGTGGAACGCTACAAATATGCTGCCCACAGCAGCAGACAGTATCCCAAATGATGACTTGATATTGACTTGTCATTATAATGTCTTCAGGACCAGTGTAGGAACTGTGCGAGTTGTGCCATCTTTTAGTGCCCTCTCTCACTCCAGACTGAGCCATTCACAGAGCAGTAAGAAGCCTGCTTCATTTGGGTATTTCACTGTTTTGTAATAACTCTGGACAGCAACTACATAAAAAGAAAAGAAAAAAAAAAGATTGCGCAGAAGCCCCTAGCAGGCCCCCCAACCCATTTGGCAAACGGATTATTATTACTATTTTTTTAAAACTATTTGCCGGCTTTCTCGATTACCTCCGATGGTCTGTATAATACTTCCTATGTGAAGAAATCGTGACGGATTTTCCATGAAATCATTTACATATGCTGTAACATTCAGGTGCGGGAGCCTCTTGCCTACCGATTCTAAACCATAGACTGTATGTTCTGAACTCAGTGACAACACCGCAACTGATGAAATGGAGTCCGTTAACGACTGGCTCTGAACACAATACAGATTTGGTCCGATACATTTTGATATAAACTCAAAGGAACCAATACTGTGAAAAGAAGGACTGTTATTAGGGAAGGAAACACCACCTGAAAAGGGGATAAATTTAATGTTTGAGCGCTGCCTGCTGGCCTGGAGGAACAATTGTCAGAACAGACAGCAAATTACTTTCAGTGTAGCGTAATTAAGTTCATTACCTCAACTACTGTACAAATTTGAGATATTTGTAGAATATTGTACTTTTTACTCCACTGCATTTGCCTGACAGCTTCAATTACTTTGGTGATTTTAATTAAAGTTTGTCTGAAACTGAAGGATTAAGAGTTTCTTTATGAGAAAATTCTCCCAAGACTGCAGGACTTTTCTTGCACTTTTAAAGCAACATGTCTTTTTTATGTCTTCTATATAATTTAAAATTACCATTCCAGGATATACCCAGTGTCCTCTCTCTCACAGATATTTTTGTCATAATAAAATTTTAGAGTCCATTCAGCTTGAAAGATATGAAACATAGCCAATAAACAATGCCAGGCACGTTATTACATATTACTGTCAGGATTGTTGTATGGTGAGCAGGTTGGTGGACCAAAATGCAGGACACAGATACTGGCAGGTTCAGTTTGATGATTTATTAAAGCAAACAAAAGCGAGCACACTTACTAGTTGAGTGGCTGAGTCCAAAGACACCAAGATAAACGATCCAAAATGAACACAGTAATCCAACAGAATAATCCAACAAAGTACAGATCCAAATGAGGCAGAGCAGAACACAACGACACACGATAATGACTGAGACAGAACATGACAAGCTACAATGACCAGACAGGGACTGAACAGAAACACCAAACATATATACACCAGGGACTAACGAGAAGGCGGGAGCAACACAGGTGAGAGGGATCAGGACTAAAGAGATAGGCAGGCAGAGAGAGCGCAAGGGAAAACAGAGAGAACAGGCATGCAGAGGGATTACTCATTTAAAATGGCTCTGTTCAATGTGAGATCACTGTCAAGTAAGACTTTTATCTTAAATGATTTTATCTTGTCTGCAAATCTTGATTTTATGTTTTTAACTGAATCATGGTTGCAAATGAATGACTATAGCCAGCTAGCTGAACTGTGTCCGCCTCAATATGACTGTTTTAGTCAGCCGAGGGTCAGTGTATAGGAAAAATTTTAAATGTCATCAAGTACGCTGTGATGAATTTAACTCCTTTGAAGTTCTTACTCTTAAACTTGGAGGGATGCAACCTATCATATTTGTTATAATTTATCGCCCCCCAACTCACTTCCTGAATTTTTATCTACTCTAAATTATTAAAATTATTGTTCTTTGTGGCGATTTTAATATTCGTGTTGATGACCCCACCAATGTTAATGCAACTGACTTTTTAAATATGGCCACTTCTTTTAACTTCAAACAACATGTCAAAAATGTTGAAAAGTTTCAATCTGGTTTCAGGAAGTACCACAGCACTGAAACTACCCTGCTTAAAGTCACCAATAACCTTTTAATGTCTGCTGATGAAGGCATGTGCTCAGTCATGTTACTCCTGGACCTTAGCGCTGCTTTTGACACCATTGATCACAACATCATGTTAGACGGACTGAGGAGCTGGGTGGGGATCTCTGATCTCTGCCCTAGAATGGTTTTCATCCTACCTGTCAAATAGGAAGTTTTGCGTGTCTGTAAACAACTATGTCTCTTCGTTCTGTCCAGTTAAATATGGTGTGCCTGAGGGGTCAGTCTTAGGGCCCATTTTGTTTTCCTTGTATCTGCTTCCCCTCGGACATATTATCCATAAACATCGTATTTCTTTTCATATTTATGCTGATGACACACAAATATACTTGCAATATCCACAGACCCTGGAATGCTAAGTTCACTTAACAACTGCCTTTGTGAAGTTAAAAAATGGATGTCAAATAATTTCCACCGATACCATTTTACACGCCTTCATCTCATCACGCCTGGAATATTGCAACAGCCTTTTCACCTGTTTAACCCAAAAATCTACTGATCGACTCCAGACTGTCTAGAACTCAGCTGCCAGGCTTTTAACCAGAACTTTTAACCCCTATTTTAGCTTCATTACACTGGCTCCCAGTATGTTTTAGAATTGACTTTAAAATTTTATTGATCAATTTTAAAGCTCTTCATGGCCCCTCGCCTTGTTATATTTCTGACCTTTTAGTCCCATACTAAAGGGGACAGAGCGTTTTTCAGTCAGGGCCCCGAGGCTATGGAACAGCCTGCCCGAGGAAATCAGGTCCCTTCTTAAAACATACTTTTATAGGAGAGCCTTTCCTGATCTTATTTGACTTTATTTTATCCCTTTTATTTTATTCAAGTTTACTTATTTTATATTAATCTTAAACATGTATTTTAGTCTTTTGCGTATTATTGTCTTTACACTTGTTAAAGCACTTTAACTGTTTTTGAAAAGTGCTCTACAAATAAAGATTATTATTATTATTATTATTACTGGAGGAACAGACATAACACAGGTTACTGAACACAAGGCACTGGCTGGCAAATGACACAAAAGAAGAAACAAACTGGAACACAGAACAGACTAAATTTAATCATACAGATAGACTACAAACGTGACAGGGAAAACAGACTGAACTAAGAACAGGACACAGAGCAGACATGGGCAAAATAACAACAAACATTGAAGTACACAGACCAGGAGTAAACACTAAGTCATGAACTAAGACACAGAACTAAGAACTGAGGCAAAAAGCTAAAACGCAGGACTAAGAACAACGATAAGGGACAAGACAGATCCTAAGTAAACCTAAAATGCGAATGAACAAAACACTAAACATGACAGGATCAAATAAAGCTTGTAGAAACCAAAACCAAACCAAACCCATGAAAACACTAATACTAAGTAAACTAAGACATGCGGATGGATAAAATAATAAGCAAGGCTACACAGAGAAACACAGGACAGGATTGTGACAATTATAGTGTTCATCACACTCACAATAACCAATGTTTGGTCCTTACAACACATTCTACAATATATTCTTCTACTTTTAAACTCAGAGGTTGCTATTGTTGACAGCCTTTTGGAGGACATGAGCAGGTGAGTCCATATTTCAAAACACATTTAACACAGTATGAAACCTAAACTCAAAGCAAACTTAAGAAGCTTGTAATGGGTAATGTAATTAATTTTATATTATTTCTTGAAGATACATCTTTATACTAGCTCATTTTGCTCATACTGTATGTTTAACCTGTATAAAATGGTGTACACTTAAAATCACTGTGCAGAATTGTGCACATAACTTTTAGTTTTTTGATGTAATCTTGTATGTTTAGCAGGTTGAAACTTGGAATGACAAGACTACATTTCACTGTACGCAAGTATAATGACTATATAAGGTTGAATTGCCTTATTCTTATAAAGTGCTAGACAAATAAACTCATCAAGCTTACACTTAGTGCGTTGTTACTGTTTGTATAATAATATTGAATCATTATTTCAAACAATACAAAATGTGTTTTTTCTTGTATTGCACTGACAAATACTAGTTATGTTAACATGTTTTTGGTCTCAATCTTTCCTGTTTAATGTAAAGAATGTAGACCAATAAATGTTATTGCTAGAAAGTTGCATACATTTAAGGAAATGCCCCAAAGAGCAATAAAGTGCGGAACCTCTTAAAAAATAATTATACAAATAAGCACATCAGCATAAAAGAACACTTTCTGAAATGTGCATAAATGTGATTTAGAAGATGAAGAGCACACAATAATGTATTTATTCTCTGCTTGTTCAAACATTCTTACCATGTCTTTTTAAATTACACTGATACTAAAACTCAACAATAGAAACAATAAAATACAATTTATCAGCATCCAGAACCCTTTTAAAGTTCTTTACACACATTGGTATGCAAATGATATATTTTGATAATTATGGTAAATCAGGTATCACAGTAGCAGCACCAAAGATGTCAACAAAATATATAGTTTAATTACATTTATTGCTCTAGATATTTTTTTTTATGTCAACCATTCATGCTGTACTTCAAATTACTTACAAATTAGCTGCTGCAGTAGTTCTTGTGAGGCGGGAGAGACAAAAAAAAAGTCTAATCTGAAGTGTTTTCTCTCTCTCCTGTGTTTGTGACTTAAGAACAGGGGGAAAACAGGTGAAGACTTAGAAAATAGATCACCAGATTTTTTTCTCCCTCACTTGACTCTTAGGGCTTCCGTACAGTACATCAACTCAGAATTCGAGTCACCGGTATAAAACTACTGCACAGTTGGGAAAGAAATTAGTCTATCAGGAATTAACTTTACACAAACAGTTGGCGATGCAGTTTGATATGATAAAAATATAAAAGATCTTGTATTTAAAAATCAGAATCATGCAATTATTTTTATAGGTGCATAAAAGGGAGAGATTATTTGGCATGATAACAGAGCGTAGCACACGTCTACATATTAAGGCAAATTTTTTGCAGGTTAATATCATTTTAATAAAAAAAACAAAAAACAGCAGATGTTATAAGAAAATGTTTCGTGTGAAACCAGAAAGATAAAATGGCACAGAAATAAAAGGAATGCCACTCTGTTACACTTTGGGACAGTTTAAATGTTTGGGTGTAACAACAAAGATGACACTTGTCTAGACGTTTTGGAAATGAATTGTCAGTTAAGGGCCTTGATGAATGACGTGTTCTGCTTCCATTAAAAGACAACCACTACCATCAGAGGTAATTAGCATGACAGGCAGTAAACCAGCTTTTCATCCCTGAATGCTCCTACAGGAGACATAAACTCAGACATAAATAAATAAAACAAAATAAACAAACTGGACAGAGACACATTAAAACTCTAAATACATGAAGGAAGTGTTTCAGCACTTAAACATCCGCAACTACTCAGACAGTCAGTCAGTCAATCAGAGGCATGTGGTCGGTTTAAAATTGAGAGGGGAGTGGTCTGTCAAAGGAAAAGGAATATTTGAAAAACACAAACTGTTAACAGTCTCACAACATTTTAAAGTGGAAACGAAGTTGAGCAGATAAAAACAGCAAAATATTCTTTTGCCTCCGATGAACAACTTCACAGTTGAGCGAGAACAACGTCTAAGCTTTCTCCTCCAGAGGTTTGGAGGGTGGGAGCGCTTCCTTCTGCACATCAACAGCACTGATGTCTGATACCACCACAGAGGGGTGGCTGCCATCCTGTCAACACAACAGAAACCAATACACACAATCAACTTCACTTTTTTAACTACTGAGAAACTAAAAAACTCTGCCTGTGCATATACTTATACATACAGTATATACATATTCATCTATATTAATGGCAACGCTTTTAAATTTAGCATCATCAAGGCAAGACTAAATAATGGTAATACAATCAAAAGAAATATAAAAAAATCTTATGTGAAACACCTAAGGCCGCTTTTATAATTAATAATTTGACCTATTGTACATCATAGAAGAACAATAAAACACCCAATTCAGTTTTAAAAAACTGCTCTTAATTGTCAGTTTACATTAAATTTATTCTGTATGAAGTACAGGGGGAAAAAACAAAACAAAAACCCCCCTGCACATTCTGTTAATAAAAGAGGTGAAAAGCGTCCAGGAAGCATGGTGTCCCTTTAATCTCTTTTGTGGCTGACTTACTCTGTGTTTAAGGTAGGCAAGGTAGGTGTCCCACCCTAAGGTGATAAAGTTGATGTACACGACCCGGAATTTGGGTGAAAGAAAGTAGAAGTTGATCATCTGAGCGGGCGGCCAAACACACCAGTCCGCCTGCGGGCAAGAACAACACATATTAGCATAAACAAACCCTGACAGATTACCAAGCACAATCATAGTTACAACTGTGAGAAGAGAAGGGAGGTTGTATCTGTCACTTCCAGCTGGTGTGCCACCAAGATTTCGGTTTTTACAAATCTGACTTTAGAGGAAACTGCCAGTGAGCCTCTTCAAATATTACATTTTGAGAAAACAGACAATCTCAGAAGTAATTAATATAGTTAGCGTGTGGTGATCATAGATGATTGTCTATACCAGGGGTGGCCAAACTACGGCCCGTGCTGTAGTTTGGCCAAAGTTATTATAGTTAGTGGTTGAGGCATACGATTATTCTTTTAGCATTCAGTTGTGGGAGAGTATGGAGGGATGAAATAATGCATGAAAAGGGATTCAGTGTCTAACTGAAGGTTTGTTTTGTTCTTCTGTATGTTATCTGAACCCAGTGTTTCCTTGTTTAGCCTGTTTAATTTGTCCAGTTGAGAACAATGCCATTTGCACTCTGTGTACCAAATTATTGCACTGATGTAACCCTAACATATATAAGGATTAGGGATGGAACATAGTAAATTTAGTCCTTCACGTTTGGAAAGCTGAGCAGAAGTAGAATGAAGTCTGATGCTCACACTCAGTACTTTCTCCTTGTGTTTAATACAAACTCCCAAGGACACAAGCACAGACAGTCATGTTCAGTCACAAACACAATAAAGATGTAAAGTTAACTTCACATCTCTTCTCAAGAACAGAGAAGAACTTGTGATGAGTGAACAATAATGTGAGACATGTGCAACAACATGCTGCTCCAGATGTGCAGGTCAGATCCTGACAGGTGTACTTGCCTTATAAAATTCCCAGAACTTGTCTTTAAACTCTTCCCATCCTTCAGATAAAGTGTGTCCCTCCATGACACCCATACCTGTAAAAAAATGAGTTGTCTGTCATATGAGTATTAGCGCCAACCTTCACCAAAACCAACTTCAGATAAAGTCAGAGTCTGGAGAAGTGTCAAACTCTTATAAAACATGACTGACAGTCACAGACAAAACCAAATTGTTTTTCCACAGACAAACTTTGAACTCTATCCACCTCTAATACTGACATGTAACCTACCTTAATTTCTTTGTGGTGACCATTAATCAGTGTGTCTCTTAAGGCTTGCTGTATTCTTATCAGCTATTTTATGGTCACATTCCTTGCCTTCTGATAAAGCAATGCCTTATAAAGCCTCATTGTAGCGAAAATCAATGCAGTTGTCTGTCGGCACGGCTGCGTGCAGACTCACATCTCACAGGTGTAACCGAGACATGAAGCTTTTATTTATGCTTTAAATCTAATTACTTGACAATATGCGCATAAACGTGAGGCTGATGCCCCTTGTGCTCTAAGGGAGGAAGGAGACTGCTTAATGCCAATAAACTCTGATATCCTTCTCACCTAAAAAATACCACAAGCCGATTGTTGGTGAGGCGATAAGCTGGTCCACCAGAACCTTCTTGCCCACAGTGTTCAAAGCTCTGCCCACGTACACTTTGTCCAGCCAGCCGTACCAGTAGTGCAGCAAGGGACCCATGGAGCAGCCCGCTATAAACATGCGCCCTTTCGGGGGAAAGAATTAATGGAAAAATAAAGAATTAATGGCAGTCATTTACCACATTGCACAAATCTTCTCCAAAATACTATATTTTATTCTCTATTAAGAAATGGATATGAAAGTAAACTGTGTTTGGAAAAAAAAAATACTAAGAAAACAGGCCAGAGTATTGTATTGTGAAAGTATTGCACTATTAGGAAAACTCTTTGAAAAGTGTACATTTTTATTGTTAACCTTTTTTATCTAAGTTTTGTAAAACATTGTGTGTGTGTGTGTACTGTTATGATGTCAAATAAATTAACACCTGATTGAAAAGCAGAATTTTACTGTTAGAAATGCAGTTAGTCGTTATCATAAAACAAACCTCGACAGGTTGAAAAGGGACACTAACAACAAGCAGATCCTGTTTGCTCCACAGCTTCTTACCAAAATAGACGGACCAAATGTTGAATCATACCATGTTCAATACAAGCCTCTAGACCACCTCTGGTGGTAAGCCATCCAGATCCTGACACAGATATTGCTGACATTCTTTATCAACATTAAAACTGTCAGGAGCCTTGTGCTGTGCTAATTATAATAATATAATTATTTATCACTGCATAAATTGTTGACAAACAGACACATCACTGTTGCACAGTTATGGATTCCCTGTTTCCAAAAACCATTACATTTCATTTCATTGTCTGAAGCCAGTCATTAAGTCATGGAGCAAGGCACCTACACCTCCAGGGTTTATGGTGCTATTCCCACATTTTGATAACTGCACCCCCTTGGCTCCAGTTCTGTCTCTTACCTGTCCTCCTCCAGTCTCGGACTCTGCCTGGATCCTTGTGGTTCTCCCAGCTCTGCTGCAGGGAGTCTCCCAGCGCCAGCATGACTCCTCCACTCAGGGTGTTGGTGAGCAGCAGGTACCGGCCCTGGAAAAGTGGCCTCCAGGATAACTGTATCCGGACCAGAAACTCTTTACCCGCCCGGGGAAGCATGATGTTTGTACCGTAGAGAGAGTGATGTCATCTGTGTCTCTCTGTTAAAAAGTATTTTTTACAAAAGACTTATGGAAATGGACAGGAATCCTAGGTTAGCTAACAAATGTGTAACAAACAAACACAGCCTATGTACTACTCTACAAGAATTTGTATCAGATATCCTAGTTGTCCACACTTCCACCACATGTTTCAAAATAATGATGAGTGTTTATCGCTTACAAAACCTTTTATCATAATAAATATAAACACTCTCATGCTACAGTCTTCATTAATTCCCTAACCATGTAAGCTTCTAAGGTTAAAGATTGTAAATGCAGAAAGCCTCTTTTCGTTTTGTTATTTATACAGCTTTATGAGTCTCGTCTGTGGCTGAATGAATACATCTTTTTGTGTTTCCGGTAAATTTGCAGTTGACAGACAGAAAATGATGTAACAGTGTTAAAGCTCAAAGTTCATGCAGTCAGACAGTCTCTGAGTCAGACTCATTGACCAGCTGCTAAGGTTACTGTAGCAAACAGCTAACCATTAGCTACCTAACATGCTGCCAGGTTAAATTAAACCAGGATTAGCAGCTCAGCTGCCCCGACGATGTAGCCGGAGACAACTGATTACTGTGGCGTTTTCTATCTAGCACAACACAAGCACTGACATTGACCTTTTCTGTACAAAACTATACATTCAATTTCACAATGATCGCTTCCTGTCACATGCAACCAACCGAGGAGAGTCAAGTCGGAGCCGCTGTTGTGTCGTCTGGTTCCCGTCCCGTCTCCTCTTCCCTAGACCTGGACCCAACCAGCTATCTGATGCTAAAACTAAACACAACCTTGCTCCAGCGTACCTGAGCCCTAAACCCAACCACGGCGCAGGTAGAAGCCGAAACGCGTTATTCCCCCACTTGCCGACAACCCTACCTCTGATTGGCTAGAACTTGTCACCTGCCTTACATTGATTGGTTAATTGGTTGGGGTTTGGGTTACGGTCAGCCAATCAGAGATATTAGGGGCAGGACTAGACACAAAGCCGGTGGGATTGTCGGAAACATCACCGGAAGAGGGAGATACGTTAAATGTTTGCGCGCTCCCTGCTGGTCTGGAGGAACACTTGTCAGCGTAGTGCTCCATAGAAATATATCGTTCCTTTCCAGCAACAGCTTGCTTTTATTTCAGTGGTTCCTCAAACACATAATGTATCCATGTTATTCATGTAGGTATTGTGTATTGTAGGTGTTGCTGCTGTTTATATTCAACCCAAATTTAAAAACAAAAATACACAGCAGAATGTTCTGGGTGAATAGTACACATGTATGTGTATATAAATAACTGAATTTGTTGTTTTATTTTATTTATATGTTAACATATTTTAATATATGTTTAATTATCCGTTAAGTTCTCTCTGTGTGACATGAACTGCCATACTGCTACTGTTTGTTGCCCACGTAAATATGGTGGGTGATACAAGCAGGTGAGTCCATTATATTCTTAACACATTTAGCACAGTGTGAAACTCCAACCGTAACATGCTTGTAATAGAGAGTTAATCAAAAACTCAGCCTTTGCTTTGCAAGCCTAAACTGGACCAGCATGTCTTGAAATCGTCCTTCACTGTACTCACAAAGAAAACAAGACCAGGTCAAATCACACACACAAAGTTAAAAAATACTCACTATAATATCAGTGAGACTACTTGCTGATCAACCACAGCTAAAGCAACACAGAAGACATAAACCTGCACCTCAGGGTACATTAAACAATTGATTTAACAAATATTTTTTTTATATCAGTTATCAAACTGTGACATATCATTTTACTGCACCAGTGGTGCAAGTGTACAGTAGAATAACAAAATTTGTACTTAAGTGGGCTATTGGAGTGAACGTATTTAGTTATTTTCCACCACAGCAACAGTGTGTGTATTAATAACATAAAATATATTAGCCTAGATAACATATACTTAGTATACTTATACTTAGTTAGTTAATAAGAAACTAAAGTAGGCCACTGTTCTGGTTTATTTTAACATACATAATTTAAAGCATCATTTAAACTTACAAACCACTGCAATTTACATGCTTTTAAATTTCACTAATAGCTTTCTGTTTTGCCAGAATGTGATTGGATTTACTATTTTTAGTCTATTGATGTCTGTATTGGACAAGTACTGACTTGAAAATATCATAGCACATTTAGTTTACTGCATTATTAATGAAATAAAACAGAAGTCTTATACTTAAATTAATCTATTTTCATTACCAAAACAAATGTCTTTATTGTACAACTTTTTAAATTAAAGTATAAAACTTAAAACTCTTGTTCTGTTTTTGCTAACAAAAAATTGTTGACCGATGGCCTATATGTGTGTTTACCTTCATCAGTTTACAGGTGTGTGTTTCTCTCCACGGTGCTTCTCTGTACTCTGCTGTGAATTATCTCCATTTCTATTGTCTGTATCATATTGCAGGTCTTTTTCATTGATTTTTCATGCAAACATATTGTTGCTAACCTAATATATAATATCAAATGATGTTCTTAAATGTGCTTATGACTGAACTTTGTAAATTTATCATGTCATATTGCTTTCCAAAAGTCACGTTATAGCTTATAGTTAGGCTATCTGTCTTATGATAGATAAGATGGTACTTAATATGCATTTTAAAGTGACTGCTTAATATTGTTTCCCCACAATATTCATATGTTTTTGCAGTGATATTTTTACAATAAGAACCATAAGACCAGTGTTGGTTAATGGATGGAAATGGCAGCAGTGGTTAGTGCTGACCTCCTATTAATAATTCATTCCCTCCAGCAGCGCTCATCAATAATAAATAGTGTTGAGTGTTTGAAGTGGGATGTTATGGAGCGGCTCCGGATTTGTCAGACCGGCTGTCAATCTCCCACCTGGTCTCCAAAATCCTGCCTCAAGTAGTTCATTTAAAAGTTGGCCTTTATGAATTCTGATTGCAATCGCTGGGAGCAGTTTTGTATTTTATTATTTGAATTTTAAAGCAATTATCATTTGCATTTTTTCTTTTAGTGACTCAAAACAAAGCTATTGGAACATATGTTGACATGGATTTAGAATCTGGTTTCCATTAGCTCACAGTTCACCTACAAAGCAGCACTGCCAATTGAAACCACAATGTTGAAAACACCTTTTTTTTCTCTTTTTCAAGCATTTATTTTGAGCTTTTAAAAAGGCACCGCTTTTATTTTGGAATTCATACCCGGATGTTGTGTTGCACAACCTTTCTCACTTGATAGTGTTGGTGTATCTGCGGGTATTGGACGTGGTGGATAGCAGCCGGATAGAAATACACAAAGGTGGGATTTCTGTCTTTATTTATCTATTGAATAGACATACATCTTGTCTTTAAATATTCTGTATCCTGCATTTATTTTGTTTAAGCGTATGTGTTTAAATATCAAGCAAATTATTTGAGATTAAAGAACCTTTTGACATACGATGCTTTCTGTAGAACAGCTGTTCATTTTGAAAACCATAAAACCGTAACAGATGCATAAGATTCGTATTTATTCGTGTGATTTATGTGGTTGTGACGGATGTGCTTGATTAGTAGCTCTGTGGTTTGACTGCGGGCCTGTCCTGCAGGAAAAGGCGTTTCACACTGTCCGAAGGTTTAAATCAGGAAAATGGGTCTAAATGTGTCTGAGGCAGGAACAAAATAATAAAATTCAAACACTGAAAATCCATTCATGCAGCAAACTAGACGAAAGTAGGCTATTGTTTTGACACGAATACAATTGTCGGTATATTATAATATTTTAATTACTATTATTATAACATAACCTAAGGTTGCTATTGAGTACCTCAGACTCACTATTAGTCCGAATATTTGGATGATTATAGGACTATTATTTAATCATTATAAATATATGGAAGAATGTTCAATGTTCAGTGTTCATATTGAAGGATAAAACACTTGGTCCTAAACCAATCAGATATCTGGTTTGTGTCTTCATATGAATTGGTTTGTTTACTTCCCATACCCAGAAAACAGAAAAAAACCCAACAGAATATGTAATTAACAGAGGAATATAATTCCTCAATAATCAAAGAAATCTAAAAATATGAAAATGAACAATATGTAAATGTTCACTGTGTGTTGAATGTAAACTATGTGTGTATGTTTGATTGTTAAAATTGATCAATATGATATTACAACACAACAATACAAATTTGTAGACTGTAAGATTTCTGGCAGCAGTTTTAATTTTTAACCTTAAAGTTTCATGTGTGAAAGAGTCTGAATGTGTGTCTGCAGTCAGCATCATTTCCTTTGCTGACAGTGAAGTCACTGGCGATCAGACTTGAAAGCAAGAGTGACGTGAATCTGCTGTTTCTCCTGGAAAACACATCCATGTGTTGAGCGTGACAAACGCTGCCTCAGCATCAACCAGGATCTGATTCACTTATCTTTTATCACATTTCAGATATTAATCAGCCTGTCAGAGTTGTGACTCTCTTGTCTGACCAGTCGCAGGAAAACAGACAGAAAGTTCTGATTTGATTCTAAATTAAGACATTTCAAACCTTCAGAGGCTTTTACACACTTATAAGAATAATAAACAAATCTCTGAAAGGGAAACCTGGAATTCTTGTAGGTTTTGGAGCATAAAGATGCTCAAATATAATCACAACATTTAAAGCTATCAGCAGTTGTACTGTGTTAATTATTGAAAGTAGCTCTTCAAAAACTACATCAAAGCCTACTTATGGGAAATACAGAATATTAATATGTGTCATTACCATTTGAAACGTTTTTGAACAATGCCTTTTTGAAAAATATAAAAGTTCAATATTTAAATATAAACAGGTTTACAAATGGGCACAGGGCTGTTTTTAATCCAAAGCGTCCTGGATTCACCTGCAGACTCGAGCACCAACAAACATCTCCTACATCTTGGCTGCTCTCCCCTTTCTGTTTGCGGGAGAGAGAGAGTGAGAGAGAGAGAGAGAGAGAGAGAGAGAGAGAGAGAGAGAGAGAGAGATGCTATTTTTAGCTCCCCTCCTCGCATCTGCATCCCCATGCTTCCTAGAAAAGGAGGCATGTGATTGGAGGAAAAGGGGGAAAATGCCGTCTCAGGCAACCTGGGAGCAGGACAGCAGCTGCATCAAACCACGGCTGTGTTTGTCTTCTCTGTTTGTGGTTGTTTCACACACAAGGTTGTCTGGTAGTGCAGTGATAATACATCAGGTGAACTGTTGGATGTGGTAAACACCAGATATCATTCAGCTGTGAAACCTTGACAAGATGTTAGATTTATTATAATGATTCATGTAAATTCATTAGACCAGTTTGCGTTTTAGTGATCCAGTTTTAATGTCCCACTTTTCCACCCTGATGAGAAAAGAAGCACATTTTTAGCGTTTTGGCATCAAAACCAACTGAATACTTGAGATTTGTTTAGTGTAGAAGGAGGTGAGCAAAGATGCAAATACCAGCAGTTTGAAAACCTTTTTTACCCTCTTTAGTCTGTGCACAGTTTTTCTTCCTAAAGATGAATTTAGTTTTCAGCCTATTTGCAGTAATGGAAGAAGTATTTTAATCATTTACTTCAGTAAAAGTATCAATGACACACTAATTCAGGTACTGTAAAAAGTACTTTTTATGACGAATGTTCTGTGTCGCTGTTACGTCATCATATTATTAGATTATGATTTTGATGTATTAATACTATAAGTGGTACTGGATGTCGAAGGTGTACTTTAACCCAAAACAACACATCATCTTTTATAACCTGATCATGTTTGAATGAATTTTAATTTGCAAAGTCAGTTGTTTAGAAGTAACGAGTAGCATGTAAATAAATAAAGTAGGTGCACCCCTATAGTACAGTATTTAATTGTAATGTATCCCTTTTATCCAACACTGCCAGCTTGTTCAAGGAAGTAACCTAGGGGATGTGAGGCATTTGCTTACTGGTGCATATATGTATACTAGCCTCATTTGATTTGCACAAAGTTCTTTGCAAACAGTTCATCTGTTTGACCTTTTCATCTGTGAAGTAGCAACACTCACTAATGTCCATCTGATTTGAAAGAGAGGGTGGGATTGACCTCAATTAGCAATGTAAGCTAGTTCGTCCATCTGTGACATCATATGTGCTTGATGATGAAGTTCATGCATTTAGACTTTCTCCCAGACTCTCCATAACGTGCAAGATTCCTTTGCCGCTTTCAAGTGCTCCTATAGTGTCAGTTGTATGAGTTTGATTGGTGGAAAGTACCCTGAGCTGTGCTTGGATGTAAATACTACCAAAACAGACGCTGTAAAAAATGATCTGATTCTGTTGATGTTTGGCTCATGAAATAGGTTGGGTGATCCTGCTAACAAGATATTTAGTTTACCAATTAGGCTAGCTGACCCTCCAGTTTCAAGCAGCCAGTTGAGGAAGTATTCTGACCTTTTACTTTGATAAAAATAGCAGTCCTGCATTCAAAATGTTACTTAATTAAAAGTATAAAAGTATAAATACTGTTCCAAGGTACTACTAATCATTATTCAGGATAATGTATATTAAATCATCACTATAATGTTGGAGCTGGTAAAATTACTTTATATTCTGCTGGGTAGTGTGAATTTATCTTACCCTAGATATCACCCTATAATAATAAATCATAATTTATGTGTTGATTATATTTTGTATTATTGATCTGAATCTTCAACGTAACTAGTAACTAAAATGATCAAATAAATGTGGTAGAGTAAAAAGTATTGAAATACTCAAGTAAAGTATAAGTACCTCCAAATTGTACAGTAAAAAGTACAGTACTTGAATAAATGTCGTTAGTTACTTTCACCCATTTCAAGCAGCTTAGCTCCTAGATTTTCCAGTATGCTTTTTGCTCTCTGGGTGTTTACGTTCCCTCGTGGTCCTGAAGACACCTCTGTCTGTTGTCTCGGCATGTTTCTCAGTAACTTTAAGCAGGAAGGGTGTTTAGGTGATCTGGGATCAGCTGAAGATTAGCAGCCAGTTTGCAGGAAGCCACCCAATACTGATTAAATGAGCCTGACTAGCTGGCCGCAGCAGCACTCAGCCGTGAATCAATCCAGCTCCTGTTGCACATCAATCTCCTTTAAGTGACAGGTTTAGAGGAAATCTTGATGATGTCAAGCAGCACAGAAACTCTTAGTCATGATTGGATTAGGAATAAAAAAGAGAAAACTGAAGGTGTTACTAAGAGAACGTGCTCTTGAGCAAAGTAGAAAACCTCCAGCTGCTTCAGTGGAGATGGATAGATGTGTAGCTGCATGTGTCTGGTAAATAGTTAGCTCCCTTTCGTTTTCTCCACAGTTTTTTCAATAATTTCAGGGCTTTGAAATCTTCAATGCTTTATATAATATAAGAAAAATCACTCCTTTCTCTCCTGTGGTATCAGATTTTTCTCATAGTCATATAAAATCTGATGTAGTGACTGTAGATATTTGGGCAACCCATCTCATCATGTAAAGCTAAAATAAACAGTAGGAACATAGGTCAGATTTGTGGATTTATCAGCTCTTCCTGCCTACGAAGGCCCAAATAGTCAAAGCCTGATAAAAACACGTCCCTCCTCCTCCATCTCCCCAACCTCCTCCATGATAGAGGCACTGAGTTGTCCTCAGCAGCTAGTGTCAGTGTCCATTTTGCAGTCTTTGTCATGTCCCTCAACATTCAGTCTCGTCTCCTGTTTCTAGTGGTTAAACAACGGGAGATTATTTTAATCTCAAAGCCACTTTGATGGGACCTTTACTGTGGGTGAAATAGTGTCATTGTGAAATGTGTAGATATTCTTGCAGCTTTGAGCTACCAGAATCACCTTGAGACATGGGAAATACAGGAAATTACAGTAAATCTAAAAACAAAATCAGTCAGTCTTAATCAGTATTAATACACAGCACCACTATTGTTATTTGTGTCTCAGGGCCTGAGTCCTTTATTTAGACTGAATAAAGACCAAATCTGAGAGACAAATAATTTAGAATCACAATGTTAGTTAAAATGAGATTTTAGAGAAATCTGTCAAATGTTAAATTAATAACATGGTCATGAGTCAGCACATTCAGCTGCAAAACGGACAAATGGGCAATAAGCTCAAAAATACACTGTGAAATAAGAAATAATTCAGGGAAAATAAGGGGGAAAAAGAATGCAGTTATTTTGATGGTAGTTTTATTGTATGAGTCCGTTTTTTTTAAGCAAAAATGTAAAGAAATCTATGACAATTGGAAGATTTTGTGAGTTTGTCAGTTTTATGTCACTGTATACTGAATATCTGACTTGATACCCTCCCCAAGCCCAAATATAATTATGATTTT